GAAAAAGGGATTCATGTAGACCCTGCAAAAATTGAGGCCATTAAGAAATGGGAAACCCCGAGAACCCCGACAGAGATTCGACAATTTCTTGGTTTAGCAGGCTATTATCGGCCATTCATTGTGAATTTTTCAAAAATGGCGCAACCACTCACAGCTTTAACTCAGAAAGACAAGAAGTTTGTTTGGGGAGAGAAACAGGAAGAAGCATTCGAGACCCTTAAGCAAAGACTATGTAATGCACCTATTTTATCTTTACTAGAGGGTTCGGAAAACTTTGTGGTCTATTGTGACGCATCACATCAAGGTTTAGGTTGCGTACTAATGCAAAGAGATAAGGTTATTGCATATGCTTCAAGACAACTCAAAGTGCACGAGAAGACTATACTACGTATGACCTAGAATTGGGAGCCATAGTATTTGCACTTAAGATTTGGAGACACTACCTTTATGGTACCAAGTGCATTGTGTTCACTGATCACAAAAGCCTTCAACACATCCTCAACCAGTAAATGTTAAATATAAGACAAAGAAGATGGGTGGAACTGCTTAGTGATTACGACTATGAAATTAAGTACCATCCAGACAAAGCTAATATAGTAGCCGATGCTTTAAGTAGAAAGGAAAGGGTGAAACCAACAAGAGTGCAAGCTTTGGGAGCATTAGTAAACACAAGTTTGAAAGCACAAATTCTCAAAGATAAAAAAGAAACATTAAAGAAAGAGAATTTGATGAATGAGACTCTCCACCACATAGAGACTAAGTTTCAATTGAAATCTGACGGAGTGAATTACTTGGGAAATAGGGTTTGGATACCTAATATTGGCAATCTTAGATCAATAATTTTGAATGAAGCTGATCGATCAAAATATTCAATTCACCCGGGAGTAGATAAAATGTAATAGGATTTACGGGAACATTATTGGTGGCCTGGAATGAAGAAAGACATTGCCCTGTATGTAAATAAGTGCTTAACTTGTGCAATGGTCAAGGCCGAACACCAAAAACCTTCCGGTCTGCTTCAGCAACCCGAGATTCCCCAATAGAAGTGGGAACAAATATCAATGGACTTGATAAGTAAGTTACCTAGGACTGGAAAAGGGCATGATGCCATTTGGGTAATTGTAGATCGACTAACAAAATCTGCTCATTTCTTACCAATCCGAGAAGACTATAAGATGGAAAAGTTGGCTCAAATTTATATAAATGACATTATAACCAGACATGGAGTACAACATTCCATTCTCTCGGATAGAGACAGTCGATTTACGTCAAGATTTTGGCAGTCACTTCAACAAGGGTTGGGTACACGACTAGATCTAAGTACATCGTACCACCCCCAAACTGATGGGCAGACAGAAAGAACAATCCAAGCACTGGAAGACATGTTGCGCGCATGCGTTATAGATTTTGGTGGAAGCTGGGATACGCATATTTCGTTAGTTGAATTTGCGTACAATAACAGTTATCATGCCAGTATCCAGTGTGCGTCCTATGAAGCCTTATATGGACGTAAGTGCAGATCCCCACTCAGTTGGTTAGAAGTCGGCGATCGACAAATAACCAGACCTGATGTTGTTCAAGAAACCACTGATAAGATTGAAATAATCAAGGATCGACTCAAGGCTGCAAGAGATCGTCAGAAAAGCTATGCCGATAATCGTAAGAGACCATTAGATTTCCAAAAAGGAGATAAAGTATTTTTAAAAGTCTCACCATGGAAAGGAATAATGCGCTTTGGAAAAAGAGGCAAATTGGGTGCCCGATATATTGGTCCCCTTGAAATAACTGAGAGGGTTGGGCCAGTGGCATACAAGTTAAATTTACCATCAGAATTAAACACTATTCACGATACATTTTATGTATCAAACCTCAAAAGGTGCTTAACAGACGAAACACTGGTTATGCCATTGGAATACGTGCAAATTAACGATCACCTGCACTTCGTTGAAAAACCCATAGAAATCATGGATAGAGAAATTAAGCAGTTGAGGCGTAGCAAGATCCCAATTGTAAAAGTTCATTGGACTTCAAAGCATGGACTGGAGTACACGTGGGAAAGAGAAGATTTTATGAAAAATAAGTATCCCCACTTGTTCTCAAACGAGTCCAAAGTTAAGGACTGACGAACGAAATTTCGGGACGAAATTTTTCTGGCATGGGGAGACTGTGACATCCGTCATTTTTGGGCGTCAGGTTAGCACCTTATAGGATTTTTTAAATTAAGAATTATATTAGGATCTAGTCTTGTTGATTAGAATCATTTGGCTTAGTTCCCAAAATATAGTTTAGAAAATCCTATTTCGATGGGTAATTGATAAAGTTAACTTATGTAATGCCAAAATTCATTAAAATTCTCCAAACAAAATAAAGTTAATATTATAAAAGTCCAAATTAAATTATAAAAAGTTTTATTTGAATGTCCAAATAATTTTACAAAAATTTGGAATTTTGACCTAATACTGATATTTTATCAGTATTTGACAATTATATTTATGTTTTACTTTAAATGGGCCTTATTTTAATNGAATTTTGACCTAATACTGATATTTTATCAGTATTTGACAATTATATTTATGTTTTACTTTAAATGGGCCTTATTTTAATTAAAAAACTAAAAATAAAAATAAACAAGTATGGACTTGGGCTCTAATAAGGCCAGCTCATTTTTCATCCTCATTTTGCATAAATCTTTCATCTCCCTAACTTCTCTCTCTCTAAACCATACCATGTTAGGATTGAAAATCAATAATTGTATTCGTCTTGAAAGTTAAATATAGTCTATAATTGTAAAAGTCAGCGTGTTTGACTTTTATTAGACAGGTTTGACTTTGACTTGTCTTTAGATGTTTGACCATATAAATAGAAGTTAGTCTTTGTAATTGTAAAGAGGAGAGCTCATTTGTAAGATTTGATACGTAATGAGAGGTTTGACCAAATTGTAAGGATTGACTTTCTCTCTCAATGTTCTTGATGATCTTGAATGCTATATCCTAATCTGCCATTGTTATGAAGCTATAATGAAGATTGATCAGTGAAATTAGGGACTCATATACCCCTCCAGCCGATTTCTTCTTCAAGCATCATTAAAAATCTGTCAATCTTGAAGAATATTCAAGATTTCAAGCAAAAGGTAATAGACTAGTTATCTTACCTTTGTATAATAACAAAGATTCTCATTTTCTACACCTTCTTCTTGACTTTGTAATTAAATTTCTGGAGAATTTAAAAAGGGGAGATTATACATCAAAGACATGAAAATGTCTTCAAAATGATGATAATCTGTGATCCACGAACCTAGAACTCAATGAAAGTAGGATAAAACCTCATTGCATGTGGAAATTAATCACTAAAAAATGTATTTTGAAAACTGACAGATTTTGTTAGCACTTGTGTCGACTGTATCTTTCAAAATGAAAGTCCAAATGTTCTGTATTTTCTTCTAAAACGTACTTTAATGAGTTATATTTCTAATGCAACTGGTCTCACTAAAAAATATTACGTTTTGGGCCTTCAAGTTCTTGATACAAGATTATGGTGCAAAAAGAGCAATGCTGACAGAATCTTGCATGCATTTTAAAATGGTTATATCTTCGTCAAAAGTCAATGAAAATGGGTTATTATTTTTCTTAAAGTTAGCCTTATGTGTTAGCTTTAAAATAAAGTTAAAATCACTGAAAAATGATGAGTTTAGACCCCCCAAATGGCCGTCACTCGAAGAGTGTGTAATCTGTCTTGGGGACTGTGTCACTCAAAGTTGTAGGGTATTAATGAGTGCCTTAAACCCATCCAAAATTCTTGATATTCGGAAAAAATCTGTTTAGCTCATTTCTATTGATGATATAAAAATTTGGACTCAAAAAGAGTTATGGAAGGTTCCTTTTGACAGTGATTTGTAAGACCAAAAATTCCAGATTTAGAATTTATTTTCTGTCAAAGTGTTTCTTCATATGTTGAAGACTTGGGTATAAAATATTGGACTATTTCAAAGAGCAAATGATATTAGTATCAACTTTAAACCATGAAAACTCAATGGCATTACATAAGACATACTTAACTTTATCTTTATCGAGACCCGATAGGTGATCTAATTATTGGATTTCGGA